GGAGGGGAAGCTGTGACCTACGTGCAACTCCCAGCTCTGCTACCGCAAGCCACTCAATCACCTGTGTCTTTGTCAGTACGAGGGTCACTAGTGTTCCCAGGGGTGTCATAGCTCTAAATAAAGACCCACAGTGAAAGCTTCCATTCAGGGTGAGGCCCAAGTAGCTCTCACCTCGGTTTCCCCAGGCCATCTCTTCGCCCTGTTAGATTTTTCCCGTTACCCCAGGTCCCCTAGCTCTTCCTTGGGCTCCAGGCCAGCGTGGGGCATGCATGACATGCAGTGTCTGCACCATCCTGGTGCCACGGATCGGGCTTTGGTGTCCTCCCCCCAACTCCCCAATCCTCTCCTGCTGTAGGGAAAGAGGGAACCAGGCTGTTACCTTCCTTGTGGGTGAGCTTCTCCCCCAGTTTCATGAGTTTCGACCGCAGCTCCGATGCCATGATGTAGCCTTTCTTCTCCTTGTCCGCCATCAACATGGCCAAGAGAATTTCCTTCTTTGGGTCCTCTTGTTTTATTTGCATGTGCATAATGGTCAGGAAAGTAGAGAAATCCAGCTCTCCATTTCTGTCTAGGAAACCCCCAAGCACAGCAGAGTGAGCAGGGAGGAAAAGGCTCGCCACCTGCCTCCTGCCCGAGCCCTCCTGGCCGGCTCCAGGGACTCAGGAAGAGCCCTGTGGTGGCAGTGGTGGCGGTGAGGATACAGGCCCTCTCCTGAGGTCCCACCTCGGATATGCCTCCGTGACTCCTCCCAACATTCCTCGGGGCCTGTGGCTATCATCTTCCCATTGTGCCCACCAGGGAGACAGGAGTTCTGAGGGAGCAGTGCCTCCCAGAGCAGTGGCAGGACCAGGACGGAGCCCACCTCCTCTGCTCCCTTCCGGGTGCTGCTCTGGTGCCCTGAACTGGAGGGCATTCATCTACGTCCACCCCGCTTCAGCAGCCACCACTGCACACCCACAGAGATGGACGGGTGACCCCACCGGGGCCTCAAGCCCAGTCCCACCAGGGCTGGTTGCTTGCCTTTCCCCTCACTGCAACCACCCCAGCTCCCCAGCCCAGGCCCCTCCTCTGAGCATGTGTGGGGGCCTGGGCCCTGGCCTGGCCGGGGTACAACTGCAGGAAATTGGAACTTCCCCTGACCACAACTTCCTGTTTGGAGACAGTAACCAAAGGAAAACGCCACCCCTGGGCGGTGGAAACGGACTGCAGTCACTGAGCGCCCGTCACTGGGCTCTTGGCCTCCAGAGGCCGCCCTGGCCCAGCCTGGCCGCCCAGCGCTGCTGCAGTCACGCTCTGATGGGACCTTGGGGTAACCCCAGCAGATGGTGGGGACCCACCTGAGAGATGAGGAAACTGAGGTTCAGGTGGCTCCGGATCAAGTGATCTTTCCAGGCCACGCCCTTTCTCTGGGCCAGTCTTTCCTTCCTGAGTGTCCAGCTACCAAGGCAAACAGCCACCCCAGCCTCTGACACCCTCTTGTTTCTTAAAAAAAACCAAACCCAACTTGTTTGCTTCTGGTTATAAAAGTCCTATGTGCTCCCCTTGTAAAAAAATACAGGAAACAGCAATAAAGGGAATGAAAATCATCCATAATCCCAGCGCCTAGAGAACCACTTGGCAATGTTCTGGCCGGGTTCCCGTCCACCTTCTTCCTCCCGGTGCTGCATAGAAGGTTGGTCTGCAATCAGAAGAATTGGCTCCAACTCTGATTCTGCCATTGGCCCGAGCACGTGGGCAAGGCCCCCAGGGCTCTGAACCCTGGTATTTGCCTGTGAAACAGCGCCTTCTCCATGGGTGGGTTGTGCTGAGCACATGATATGGACACAGAAATAAAACTGTTCTGGCAAAGCGACTTGGGGGTCACTGTTACACTTCCTGCGGAGTTTGGAACCTTGGTGGAAAGCTTACATCCCAGGCCGCTCTGTGAGCTGAGGGTTCAAGGAACCCGAGTGATGCACAGCACACCTGGCCAAATGCCTCCACAGCTCCCGGCTGGAGACCTCTGCTACCGCCGGCATGTCTGACCTCTGACCTGTTCTCACATCCACCATCTGTACCCACGGTGGGCTCTTCCCAAGGACCACAGCTGCAGGGCTCCAGGCCCACCCACCAGCCCAGCCCACTTCTTCCCCAGCCCTGGCCCAGCCCACTCACCTATCTTATGAGTCTGCAGGTGCCGCTGCACCTCCCCTGGTGTCGGGCTGGCCCCCAGGCACCTCATCACCACCAAGAGGTCCGTGGCTTTTATCTTCCCCCGCTGCTGCTTGTCATACAGGGAGAAGCATTCCTTGTACTCTGTGCACAGCCAGGAGGGGGAGTCAGGAGCACTCCTTCACCGAGCCCCCCCCACACACACACACCCTCTCTTCCCTCCTCCCCTTTCTTTTCCCTCCCCCTCCTTGTGCCCACTCCCTCTGTCCCCCTTCCCATCACAAGTAAAAGTACAGGACTGCCAAGTTCAATTGAACTTCCAATGAATAATGAACACATTTTTAGTATAAGTACGTACCAAATTTTTGCACGGGACACACTTATACTAAAAAAGTATATCTTGCCTGGCTGGTGTGGTTCAGTGGTTGAGCATCAACCCATAAACCAAGAGGTCACTAGTTCCATTCCTGGTCAGGGCACATGCCTGGGTTGTGGGCTCGATCCTCAGTAGGGGGCCTGCAGGAGGCAGCTGATTGATGTTCTTTCTCATCTATGTTTCTATCTCTCTATCCTTCTCCTTTCCTCTTTCTTTAAAATAAATAAAAACATATATAATGTCTTAAAAATAAATAAGTCAATAAATAAATAAAAGGTATTTGTTGTTTCTCTGACCTTAAATTTAACTGAGTGTCCTATATTTTATCTGGCAATTCTGTCCCCTCCCTCTCTCCTTCCTCCTGCTCCCTTTCTCTCCTTTCCTTCCCCTTCCTCTGCTCCCCCTTTTCTCCCTCCCACAACTGACTCAAACCGCTGGGAAGCTGTCCCGCCCTCTAGGGCCAGTCCAGGGAGACAAGGAGCCCACAGCAGGGCATCCAGACACCCCGGGGACTTTGCAAAGACAACTCATGTGGGAAAGGGGAACTACAATGCCTCTGGGTTACTGAGCCGACCAGAAATCCCCCCGGGAAGTCCTGGCCCACAGTGGCTCTCACGTGGGGTGACAATTATTACAATTATGGGCACTTCTGAGTCCACTGCTCCAGATCCCGCCTCCAGGCTCAACTCTCAAGCTGCCCTCTGACCCCAGCCCTGGCCCTGCTCCGAGAGACTTGGGGGGAGGGGCTCAGGATGTTTTCTCAGCTCTGACTAAACCCGCTGGCAGCTCTCTTCCAACCCTTCCTCCCTTAATGGAGACGAAATGGCCTCAGGAGCTAAGGCCTCTGTTGCCCAGTCTCATAGCCCAGTGGAGCAGGGCCCCCACTTGCCTCTCTGTCCCCAGCTCCCAGCTCTGGAGGAACACCCCTGGGCCCTCCCACAGAGATTCTGACTCCAGAACTGGGGGTGGGACTGCCATGGGTGGAGCCTCTGCCTGGGGGGTGGG